GGGAATTGTAATTAGAAGGAGTTGAAGAATAATTGTCAAGAAATAGGTCAGGTATAATAGGGGTTGAATTAAAGGAGATTAAATTAAAATTTTAAAAATAATTAAAAATAAATGACATAACTTATTCAAATTAAACTAGTGTCATATATTTAGTAATTTTATGCTGTGGATATTTCCAATCCATTTTCCAATAATCTTCTCTACTTGGCAATTTGAAAACACCCATATAAATTATTAAAGCCAACCATATTAATAATTCTTCTGTTGTTAAAGAAACCCACTCATGGCCTTTACCTGCTGATTTTGCTACTGCATAATAATTTGTATTTTCAACAATCATATTTAGCTGCAAATCTGAAAAAATAACCGAAAAATTGAATATGGTGTAACTTCACCAATACCAAATTTGTCAGATAATTTTATTTGAGAGTAATGATATGGTTTTGTATGTTGAAGTTTTTGAAATAGTGGCGGTAATGGTAAGTCAAACAAATTTGAGGATTGAGATGTATTGTTATTTTTTTTTGTTCGACTATTTTTATTGACTTTTGTTTTTTTTTTGTTCCTGTTATTTGTAGTTTCAATTTCAGTTTCAGTTTCTCCATCAGTTTCATTTTCAAACTCATCTATGGTATCATCATTCATAAGATCATTGATTTCATTTTCAATTGCATTCTCAAGTCTGGTAACAATTTGTGTAAGCTCAAAAGTATATGAGTCATCATCTTCAATATCGGCACTCATATTTTCATCTAAAAATAAGAATATGTAAAAAAAATTAAATAAATAAATAAATGGGAAAAACAGTCTTTAATTTTAATAAGGTAATGTAGATGATGATCGAACCTGAAAGATCGAACCTAATGATGTAATTCCTGTGCAAGATGTAATTCCTGCATAATACAAGGGATTTTAATGAATTTCTAAATAAAGTAGAACCGGAATTTTTAATTAAAATAGGTAAAACCTTAATTTATAGGGCAATACAAGTGCTACGTGAATTACTAATCAAAATTTAAAATTTCAGGGCAAATTTGCAGGAGAAACGGTTCAAGGGATAAGATTTTCTCTGCTATGAGTAGTGATCGGGATTCATCACATGATGTTCTGGATAATTCGGGCCAATGTCATAATTCCAGATGAATTTTACAGCAATCTCAGTAACAATTCGCGAATTTTTAAACAACTGCGATTTGCCCATCACTAGTGTGAGCCGTGAAATGTGATTCCGGAAGCACGTGGCAGGGGGCTTTACTTATTTGTGCCAGTAATACAAACTCCTAAAAAGGAAATAGCCAATCAGTGAATTCAAATTTTGATCGTT